GCACCTGCACCTGACTTAGATGATGAAATCCAGGGCTTTGACCATGACGATGATGTTGAAATGGGATGAGACTCTAGGGGAAGGGTGAGCATATTCTGCGTCTGAGAGTATGTGAATCTTCCTCCAAATGGCTAAACGTTTCTCATCTCATCTGCTCTTCTGGAGCCTTCCCATGCTCCCCAGCATGAGACAGACTCTTCGTCCCCTCCCCTTGAACTTAATGTGAGCCTTCGTGACTGCCTTAACTATCAGAGGATGATGGATGTGATGCCGTGGAACTTTTAAGTTGTCTAATGGGGTGACACAGCCATCATGAAAGTCATGCTCTCTCTCAGAGTGTTGACCAGTGCAACCTCCCATCATCCTTCAGGGTTGCCCAGCAGTTCCTCGGAGAGGTCATGTTGTAGGTATTCTGGCTGTAAGTCCCAGCTGAGGTTCTTAAGACTGGCACTGTTGGCCAGGTAGGCAAGCAGGGGAGCCATCTCATAATCCCGGCCTCTATTTGTGTTTTGAACCACCCCAGCTAATGTTGCATGGACAGAGGTGAGCTGTCCCCACCATGTCTCAGATTTGTGATAACTCTGAAGGGTCATCCCAGTCCCAGAGCTTTCCATGGGATGGCCTGTGCACACAGAGAGGTGGTGTATGAAGATAGAGGTCAAGAGAGAGGTCAGGACCAAAGATGTTAATTGAGAGATACCAGAACATGCTTGGTTCTCAAAGTCTCGGGTCTGGGTGACACGACCTAAAACGAAAGTACATAGAAAGAAGGGTGTTAGGGCTGAGCCCTGGGGCATTCCATGGCTTAGAGCTGGCAAAGAAAGGAGACTTAGGAAAGGAGCAAGAGGAGGACAAAAGTCAGGAGACAGTGATCCAGAAGGTGCAAGAACAGCATGTCCCAAAGGATAGGGCCTGCTGAGGACAAGACGCAATGGAATATCTAAAGGTCACATGACACAAGAATAGTGTTAATGCAGGACAGGGGGCACGAGCCAGTGGAATGGTCTGAAGAGTTCATGGAAGTTCAATCCCCCCGCTTCTAGCCTGTGTCCAGAGGCCAATCAACAAACCCACAAAGGAGGCCTTGACCTTTCCTTTCTTAAAGTTCCTGAAGCTCTCACTCATTCTCTGTTGTCCAGGACTCCAGGCTTGTCTGCTCAGTGGGGCTGTGGGCTACTGAGCTGGTCTTTGCTGCTTCTGTGTTCTCATCAGTTCCAGGGAGTGCTTGGTTCCCACTAGAAACCCACTCAACACTCGCTGACCGAGAGCTTGTCCATTTCACCCACCAAACAGCCAACTGAGGGCCACCCGGGAATCACAGCCGCTCCTGGAGAAATATACCACCAGGGCTGCTGGACATTCCAGAGAGATCAGAGCTCTCAGAGAAAAGAGGAGATGATACTAGCAGGTCTCTGAGGTAGGTGGCTGATGATTAATGAGAATGAATGCCAGCAACAGGCTTGTGTTTCCTGGCAACTGGGGATGCTGTGGGCAGTTTGCTGTCTGTTAAACAAATGGTCTTTGCTTCAGGAAATTTCTGGGGGCTGCTCCAACATTCAAAGGAGGCCTTCTCTGTTGAATGGAGCTCCACGTTCTTGGCTGGGGAACTTTTTCTCCTTGCTTCTGGAAGGAGAGGAATCACCACCTCCTGACCCAGAAGAAGGAGCAGTGACATCCCTGCTCTGTGTCAATCTCAGATGGGGTCCCACGGTGTGGTAACTTTGCCATGTCCTTAGCCTGGGAGGATGGCAGGGCCAAGACTGCTCCTCATCCCTGCATGAGGAGGGAAGCTATGGGCAGGGTGGGGGACGGAGGGGCTAAAGATAGAAAAGCAAGGCTGTAGGGAGGAGGTGCCCATTCTGGCATTACCAGGGCCCAGGCTCTGTTTGAAATGCCCCCCTCGCCTGCACCAGGGGTCGCTGCACCCCAAAGGAGCATGGGTGTCTCCACGAGCAAGGTGGCTTCTGCTCTGCATCAGAGGCAGACTCACAGCACAGCTCTCAGGCCTTTGCGTCCCCACCCAGCGCTTTGCAACCACACCAGGATGAGGCCCGGGACAGGATGATTTGTTAGTACTTGCTCAGGGAGATGCAGCCACTGGCCAGAACCACATTTACCAGCAACTTCTGACACCGTCCACAGCTGTGGTCGGGACGCCGTTCCAGGCATGCTACGGGGCCACTTGCAGGACAGGCCGCCCTCTGTCAGCCCTCGAGGACTGGCTTTTGTCTTTTACTTCACAGACAGCTTAAAATTGTTATGGAAAAACATTTTATTAAAACATGTTCGACTCACTTCCAATGAAACGATTAATTTTTCATTTACAGTGGTGTCCAATGTTTGTCTTCTGTTCTTTTTTTTTTTTCTTTCAAAACCAGCACCAAAAAATAAAACAAAAATACCATGGGTACAGTACGTAACGTAAGTTAACTAATGGAAAATATATACATTTGACTCTGAAACGAAGAAGAGAGAGCAAAGCAATCATATTATTGCTACCGAGGATCTTCCCTGTGTTCTGATAATATCAAGCCATGGTCAAGTGAGAGGGTTTCATTTGTACTCATGAAAGTAGCACCATAAGGTCATAAGACTCTGCAGTTAGTAACACATTTGTGCAATCAAAAAGGTACAGTACTCGAGTGACAGTACAGGGTAGTGTTAATAAAGAAACGTCACTGCTGTGATCACAGGATTTCAATGTCTTCTGTACACAGTGGAAGAAGAGCACCAGGCTGGTTTCGCTAACATCGATCATTGCTCGTGCCATAAACAGAAGGCGGGCTGGGGAATTTCAGTGCCAGCGTGAGCTAAAAGAGGTCAGAAAGACACCGATGTTGGGGGAACCAATGGGATGTTTAATAAGAACCAAGTCAAATCAATTATTTTGGATTTTAAAGGTGTGAGGCCCTGGCCAGATGCATCCAGTGGACACGGTCAAGGTAGCCAGTGGGGGGTAATTCAGAGGCACCAGGGAGAGGGCTCACCTATGGGCTCACCCAACTTGGGTACGAGCGTGCGTATGAGCAAGCAAGGCTGCCTGGCTTCCTTAGCTGGCTATCCTAGCCTGCTCCTCAGGATCTGAGGCTGCTACCTTTCATATGTTTGGGGGCTGGGGGAACATGGAACCCTAGCTCCCCATGAATTTGAAAGTTTTGTGGAAACAGGGTTTGGAGGGATTCTGTTGGTGCCCAAGCCTGAGTTGGGGAGGACAGCATCTTGCACAGGCCCTGGTGCAACCATCGGGGGGGCGGGGGTTACACTGCAGGGTGGATCACTCCATCCTGGCATTCTCTGAGTCCTTAACACAGCACCCAAGCAGGTTTCTCAAAACTTCTCATGATTCAAGTGGAACCGCACACATTTCTTGCCATCCCTATCACTTCTCTGTCTCTGGAATATGAAAAATCATACATTGAAACAGCCTTAAGCTAACCCTAACGTTGTGACATCATCAAAAACAAAAGCAGATACATAAACACAGCACCAATAAGTCAGGAAGTCCTTGGAGATGACCCCAGGGAGACTGGCATACATGAGACTTCCTGTCTGCAATCACGGAGGCGAAGGGGGTGTTTATCACGGTAAAGTCCTTGAATGTAAGCACCCATCAAACACCCACCAAGTTGGTGAGCAAAACAGGCCTCTTGGCTTCTAGAGTCTTTCCCTTCCAGCTCCAAAAGTGGGTGGGGTCCCACTGTCTTCTGTACTCTTGTCATTTGCCCAGGCTTCTGGAGAGGGCGCAGCTCTGCTTTGAGGGGCTGCAGCAGGGAAAGGCTTTCTTCATGCTTTTCTGAGTCATCCTTGCCTTACTAAGAAGATGGGTCAATGACAACAGTGTGACAATGCCGGGCCCTGCAAGGTCTGGGCTATGGGAAGGCATGGTGGTTGTGCCACGATCCTTGCAAGGGGGGCCGTCCTCCATGGATCCTGGCACACCAGGCTGAGTGGCTTCTGGAGGAAGCCTGTCCCAGGCCAGGGCAAAGTAGCCAGAGGTTCTAGAAAGAATCAACTTCAGGTAGATGGCCAAGGTCAACGGGAAGCCATTTGTAAGGTGCAAAGTTTTACGAAGCACTGCCTGGAACAGAGGCCCCCAGAAGGCAGAGAGGCCATACGCCCCAGATGAAGGGCTCACCTTTATGCCAGGAAGCAGTCCCATCCCGCAAATTAACATACGTCCCATTTCATAGCACCTTAGAGAAAGACTTTTCTGTTTCCCAATGTGGTCGACTGTATAGAAATTAGATGCCTCCCCAAACCCAAACACTTCCAGAATATTCTTCCCAACACAGGTGGTATGCAGAATCACGTGGTCTTGGCATCCTTGGCTGACAGAGATTCAGACTGTCAGGGACAAGACTTCCAAGACAAGGCCCACGATCTAGAGAATGTGTTTTCAGAGATGGGCCGAGAGGCAAAGTGCTGATGCTCATGTGGTCAAGAAGGGCTCCGGCAGCCTGGGCCTCTCAGGAGAAGCCCTTTGCAGAGGGTTGCTGACATCCGTCCTTCCTTCCAGGGTGGCGCCAGCTTTCAGAATAAAGCCAGTTTTCATGTAAAATGTCTCATTTGGGGGATAATTCCCCCGGCACATCAAGCACCGGGAATTCAAATGTCAAAAGAAAGCCAAGACAGAAGTGCACAGGGATGTCTCTTTCTTTCGACAACTGTCCATCAGAGGTGTTCCCTTTGAGGTACACAGACCCTTAGAAAGGACAATAATTTTGTGACTCATGCCTATTTTTTTCCTTACTGTAGAAAGCCATCCAGTGGCCATTAACAATATATTAAGTACAAAAGCGCTAACAGCAAACGTCAAGTCCACGCTCCAGTTCTATAACGGTCGGATTCTTAGGACAGCCTCGTGGGTGAGTGGTGGTGTGCTCCGGGGGTGGGGAGGGCCCGGCCGCAGGACTGGTGTGCTCTCAGGTGGGCGTTCAGCTTGCCATGTCGTTAGCACGCAGGCCACGCGCTGCCGCGCTGGGGGGCCGCTGGGCCACGTGTCATGAGCTCAGCGACGGCGGAGGTGGCTGGCGCATCTTGTTTGCGTAGAAGTCCCTGCACGTCTGGCAGCAGCGCTGGTACCACCGCATGTCCTGGCAGAGGTTTTTTTCTCGGATGACCCGGCAGTACACTGTCCACTGGTCCCGTGTGCATTTGTAGGTCAGGGCGGCTAAGGGTGTGGTGGGGGGAGAGAGAGCCCAGGGGTTAAGGACGGCTTGGGGACATCCTGATGCATGCACAGAGAGGGCCCATGGTCTGACTCTGGGGCTGCCCTCGCTCACACATGCTGGAGCCTTGCACGGACACGAGGAAACAGGCCCCCTGCCGGGGCCAAGGGATGTCGCTTTTTTCTACAGGGGATGGCACTCGCGGGTCTCACCTGACCACCTGGCAGGGCACGGTGATCTGGCTGCTTCCTCAGGACAAGGGCACTGCGCACCCCGCTTCCCAGCTAAGTGGTATGCACTGTTGCTTTTTGGCCTAGGACGCCATCCCTGCTGGCATTTAGGAGACAGAATGACCTGCGGCAGTGGGCCTCAAAGGGCCACTGAAGCAGAAGCTAATGGCACAAGTGGTCTAAACCTCCTTCAGGGTCATCTTGTGAAGAGAAGGTCCTGCCAGAGGGAGGGGTCTGAAGCATATCAAGGAAGTTTGCGCATGCAGAGGCTGGGGGATCCATCTGCAAGCTCCAAGACCACCCCCACATCTATGAAACAACTTAGAAGCCCCCCTCCTGGCTGCATTCCAACATGAGGGAATGGGGCTCTGGGTAGGAAAATATTCCTTAGCGATTTCTATTTGGAGGAGGAGAGACTGTTAAAAGGAATCATTAAATTGGTGTTAAATGTCCCTCTTCTCCCTCCCATGCCACCGAATTCAAGACTGCAACCTGTCAACACCTGCTTTCTTCTCGAGCTTCAGCTTAAAGAAAATCGCAAGCGCACATCCCCAAGGTTGCGTGAATGATACCCCAGCTCCTTCGTTTCTGGAAGAACGCACCTCCCCTTGCCCTCCTCATGCACAGGAGCCCCAAAACCTTATTGGGGGACCATCCTCTGTCCCTCACTGTTGGCAGAGGGACTAGCGGGTGCTCGCCGTGTTGTGTCTGAGGTTGCTGCTTGCAGACAAAGAACAAAAGTCCATCTCTGAAACCTCTAACCTTCAACAGAGCTGACAAATGCTGGCCTCTCCAGGGCTGGGATCAGCCCCAAGGGGGTGCTTTCTGGCTTCTAGAACCCCTCCACCAGCAGGGACTAGCTGGCTGGGGGCGGAAGTGCCCTCCCCACCAGCCTGGGGCCACTCACCGAGGCGAGGGGAGGTGATGGTGTTCACGTTGATCTTGTCATTGCAGACCTCCTGGTGGCACTGTCTGTAGGCGGCTGGCTTCAAGAGGGCGGGGCACTCGTTGCCATGGCGCCCGGTGACCTTGTGCATACATTGTACCACGCGGGACTGTAGGCCCTTCCCGCAGGTTGAGGAGCACTGCCAGAAATAGAGATGGTCTGAGCTGGGGGCCGAACCTGGGCCGAGTGGTTGTGACCATGGCTCCACGGAGCAGCGGTCCCTGTGCCTGGCCCCCGCATGTCATTCCCACATGCTTGAAATAGTGCAGGACAAGGAGGCTTGGCTGCACACCAGCTGCCTGATAGACGCCTGTTTCAAGATGTTATGGACTGAATGTTCTTTGTCTCCCCAGATCCACATGTTGGAGCCCTGGCTCCTAATGGGTTGGTATTTTGGGGGGGGGGGGCTTGGGGAGGTAACTAGGTTTAGATGATGCTATGAGGGCAGAACCTCCATGAAGAGATTAGGGTCCTTTTAAAAGAGGACGAGAGACCAGAGACTGACTTTCCACCACTTGAGGACACAGTGACAAAGCAGTCATCTGCGAGCCAGGAGGTGGGCCCTCACCAAGAACCAAATTGGCCAGCACTTTGACTTTGGACTTCCCTGCCTCCAGAACTGTGAGAAATAAATGTCTGTTGTTTAAGCTTCTCATCTATGGTATTTCATCTCAGCAGCCCAAGCAAAGACACAAGATCGTTGCTAAAATATTAATTTATGAGGCTTGCATCTTACTTCCCACCCTTTCTACCCTGTTCCAAGCAGAAAGCTGGGCTTCCAAATTCTCCAGCTAGCCGACAAGGCAGCTTGGTGGCACCAGAAGGTGCTGGGCATGATGACCTCAGGCATCTCCCCCTGGCCTTGGATGTAAAGGCGAGCTCAGTCATGGGTGGGGTTGAATTTCCCGAAAGCCTGAAGAGTTGGGGCCCAGAATTAAGTGGGAGAAAAGGAAGTGTAACCTTCCATCCTGGAGTCACAGATTATTTGTGGCTCACGGTTTTAACTCAGACACCAAGGCCTGAGCTGCTGGCATCTCCAGTCCTTGTAGACCTGGGTTTGCCAAACCAGCCCAGGTAGCTCGGCAGACATCCCATGTTCCCACTGAGCGCACTTGGTAGGACTTCCCCATATAGTTCCTGTCCTCCTCCTATCCCTCTCTGCACCCTTTTTATAAAGTGTTCCACAGGGAACCCGCCAGCTCCTCGGCCCCTCTGCCCTGATCCTGACCTCCGAGCTCCTGGGCCCTTGCTGGCTCTCCCAGGAGCCCCGGGAACTCTCTCTCCAGAATTCTCTCTCTGATAAGCTAGTCTCCTCCATCTGGAGAGTCAGGTGCACAGGTGCACTCTCTCCACCTGGGGTCCCCTAGCCACCCATGATTTATGGGGTTCTGAGAGCACTCTGCAAAACTTTAATAAAGCAAACACCTCTGGGGCCACAGCCCAGCTGGGGTTCATGCCGGCAGAGACGGGAGCCGGGCCTGTCCTCCAAACCCCACATGGGGTAGTGACACCAGGTCCCTTTGGATCATGTGCCCCCATCTCCTGTCAGGCCTGACCTTGACCTGTGCTGGAAGGAGGGCTGTCCTCGGGGCGGGGGAGGGGGAAATCTGTGAGGAGTCACCAGGCACTGGATCAGTGGGAGACTGCTGGGACCGGCTGTGACCAAGGGGCATGGTCTGCTCCCCAAAATGCTTGTGCACACCCAGTGAATTTCTCTGCTTTCCAGTCTGACAAGTAGGATCTTGGTTGTTGGTTTTTGTTTTTGTTCGTTTGTTTTTGTTTTGTATTTCTTACTTTAGAAGGGTTAGGAATCTCGAGAGAATAGTGCAGAGGTCCCAGTCTTTTCAAATCAAAAAAGAGGTGAGGAAGCCATAAGCAACCCTCCCTGTGGGCTCTGGCATGTTCAAGCCAGAACAGGCGCCCTCCCCCAGAGCACACGGCCAGCTCCAGGGGCCTCAACATTGTGTGTTCCTTAACAGCCTATTTTCTAGATAAACCAGGCAGGGGTTTGACACTGGGGCACTCCTGGGATTCAGGAGTTAGCACTGGGACCCAGGGAAGTCTGAGGGGTGCTGAGGTGGAGGGATGAGGCCATACGACAGGGTCCCACCAACAGGATACCTGGAACATGGGATGGCTGCCATAGCAACATGACTTCCACCTGGAGGGCATCAAGGAGGGAGCTGGGATCTGTGGCAGGAATTTCCTGTTGTGCTTTTAAAAACCTCAATGTCCCAGACCAATCCATCTCTAGAAGGGGCACCCAGAACTGAGAACCTCTGATTTATCTGGAACTTCTGCTCAGTGTCCTATGTAGAGTATAATGAGCTCTCTTTTCTTAACAACAAACCGGTGAGGATTCATATAAAAAAATGTGTAATTAAGCAAGAACGGACATCCAGCTATCACCCTGCTGAGTTTATACAGGTATGCTCGAATAAAAGGGGGAGATGGCTTTCACTCAAAATTATTCTTGGAAAAGACGAAGTTGCCATATACTTTCGTGAGAACAAAAGCTCTCACAGTTCAGGGGCAGGGATAAGGGGTGCCTTTAATTATTTGTAGTGTGATCACTTGGGGAGCAAGAAAAAAAGAAGGAAGCAAAAGAAATGTAACTGTCTCCCGGAGGCATGACTCATAGTCACAAATGAGGAGGATGAGCTAAAAAAGGTTTAAGAATCACTGAAAAGCAAGCTGGTAAGTGGTTATACAAAGAGCCTGGGATCCACACCAACAGAATAAAAGAAGGAAAAGCCTAAGGATTGTAACGTACTACGAAATCCCGAGGACACGGAGCATGGCCATGCAAATGCAGGGCAAAGTCCCGCAAACACAGCGCTAAGCGACACCCCAGGTCATGAGGGCCTGTCCAGCAAGAGCAGCACTTACAGATTCCGGAAGAGACAGCATCTCTGTGAACTCAGCGGGGACAGGTCCTATGCTGGCCAACGGGGGACCCAGAAGGTGGAGGGGGTAATGATGAGGGCAGACGCAGCAAATGTTAGGTTGCACCTTATAAAACTGCTCAGATGCACTCGTTTTTGACCTCGTACACCCAGCAGCTTCATCAGGTCTGACTTTATTACATGGAGAAAACTGGCACTATTTCTAAGTTAAAAGATAAGTATAAACCTTTAAATATGCATGTGTAATGACCTGAATGAATTATATATTTTAGGTAGGCATTTGACCTGTCTGCCTCTACCATTAAAGACTTTTATATGTCAAGCTGGTTGTAAAATTTAAAAAAAAAAAAAACTTACTTCCTGGGAAAATGGGATTACTGTGTACTTGGGACCTGGTATCTGCCTATTTGGCACTGAATTACGCATGTGGGGAAAAGAGGTATCTGCGTGCTGATCTGGCGGCAACATTAACATCCCTTTTCTCATCCCCGATGTTGACTCGGACTACAGGCCCTGGAACCACCTGGTGCAGGAGACACGTCGAGAAGGGAGAATTAGGAATTGAGTGTCTTCATACTCCTTCTAGGAGAGGGGCTCCTTCTGGGGCGGGACAGATGGTGGCTGGGGCCCCAGGAAACTGCACTGGTGAGTGGAGAAGGCTTCTGAAGCCGTGCCTGTCTCGCTCCCATGGCACTCCCTGACCACACAAGGTACCCAAGGCCCTGCTGGCTGGGCAGTCAGCCCAGCTGAGTCACTTCCTGACCAGGAACATCAGGAAGGGCTTCAATGTCTTTTGCAGGTGTCATTATTATGTATGTAAAAATCAGGGCAAGAACTCAATCCTGTGGGTCTATTCAAACCAAATGCAAAACTGACAAGGTCTCTGCCTGAAAATGATCGATGACCATTGTAAAACTCAGGTGTTTGGGGTTGCCCTTGAAAAATGATTTCCCCTCTGAAAGTTCTTAATCTTGTTTCACAGGCTCTAAGGCCGGTTGTGGAGGGGGAGGGTGTGGTGGGGGCAGGAAGGGAGTGTGTTCATGACAGCCCTGTGTCTACAGGTGGTGTGTCTGCTTGTCCTGTGGGCTCGCTTGTAAGGTTTCACAATAGTGTGGAACATTCCACAACAATCTTGAGGCTGCTGGCCACTGAGCTCGGGGGGGGGGGGGGGCGGTGGTCAGTGTTTGGGCCAAGGCCATGTAGTAAGTGGCAGAGGAGGGACAGGACCCCAGTTGCCCCATTTCGTGGACCAAATTCCATCTTCCTGTATGAATTTGGTTTGTACTGGCTAGAGCCTCCATGTGAGCCAGGAAATAAGAAGTCAGGTTACTGCCCAGGTTCATCATCTTTCCTAGCACAGGATCACTGTCTTTTAATTTTCCAGCCCGGAGAAAGAACTGGCCTAACATCCATAGGTAACCACACTCTCCTTGACTGGAGTCTTATTAGGGACAGAGCAGCAGGGGAAGGACAGACCTATTAGCACAGTCCATCCCTACTTACTAGCTGTGTGACCTTGGGCAAGTTACTTAATCTGACTGAGCCCCAGTTTCTTCATTTGTGGCTTGAGGATAATAAAATGTTCCTTGCAGAATGATTTCGATGATTAGAATAGCTTGGAACAGGGGCACCTGGGTGGCTCAGTCATTAAGCATCTGCCCTTGGCTCAGGCCATGATTCCAGGGCCCTGGGATTGAGTCCCGCATCAGGCTCCCTGCTTGGCAGGAAGCCTGCTTCTCCCTCTCCCACTCCCCCTGCTTGTGTTCCCTCTCTCGATGTCTCTCTGTCAAATAAATAAATAAAATCTTAAAAAAACCCACAAACAATAGCTTGGAACAGGTGAACAGCAGCGAGGGAGCCGTCTGCAAGTGCTACTGTTATTAACAATCAGTGCTTGGACAAGAGCAGAGAGAACGGACCAGGGAATCCCTGGAGCCCAGGAAAAGGTGCTGAGCCGCTTGGCCTGCGGGCTTAGCTCTCTGGGGGGTTGGCCACACCCACCACCAGGCCCCACAGGCAGCTGTGGCCGTCTGCCTGTGCCGGGCCCCTGGCCCTGATCTGGCAGCTCAGCGAGAGATAACCTCCGGGAGCACAATTAGAAGTTGATCTGACCCTGAAAACGAATGTGACTGTAGACAAGTCCGAGGGGCGCAGCAGCCCCTTGTAACCTGAGCGTGCTGCCTTTCAGGATAACACAGGGGGCACAGACAAGGAATTCCGTCTCCTCCTGCCT